TACATACACACACCGTCACTTCGCTCCACCTCCGGCATCACGTCGCCGCACTTCTCGCAGGCCGGGCCGGGGCATATTCCACTGCGATCCGTCTTGAATCTGCCTCATCGATAAGCGATTCTATAAAGTTGCTATCCTATCCCTTTTTGCTACATATCCCAATACTTCCAAATGGCACCTCATCAGGAGCCACACAGTATCCCACAGCCTCCATAGCACTTCTTCTGCCTTTACACCTCTATACTTTTCGACCATACACTCTTTTTTCCTTCCATCAGTTATCCTCATCCACTATCTGATCTAGGCTTCAATTTTCGTATTTTCCTGTTGTCAGGGATGTTCAGCAGTCGAAATGACATTGCAAGAAAAGTTTTGGAAAAAGCAAACCGGTAATACCAGACTGAGTTCGCTGAATTATTGCAGCATTTACTTGTTGTAGAAGTATGTAGATGTAGTAATCCGCATTAGGTCACGTCTTCTGGTCGCGCTCCATAGAGCAGTTATTCATTATTACCTTTGCATGGCTCATTTGCTTCCCAAAAGAGTTTACATGAAGAGTTCTAGGCAATGGAAAACAATTGAGGAATACTGAAAAACTGGCAGCGATGTTGAGCACTTGCGCAGTGGTTAAAGTCGACGCACGCGCGACAAATGCCGCGCGGACCCCCTCGAGTATGAGCGCTGAGTTTGAACAGCCAGGCACGGTGCAATGTTTCTAATAATAATTCTACGCATTTCTTCAGTGTTTTCTGCGTTCTCAAACGTGGTTCCAGAAGCTTTTCTAAAAACCAATCCTACCAGTGGATAGCCTTCTTAAGCATTTCGAGGTTTGCAACGCTTGGGTTTGTAATTAGGTGGAAGAAATGCCTTTAGCCCCCACTCTTTTGCACCATGACCTCAGTCATCATCATCGGGACTTGGTGGCTCGTGGCTGTAACCTGGTTCTTGCGGTTTTGTTTCGCAGTCTACATCATGTAGCAGACGCAAGACACATTGCCATTCTGAAATTTCTAGTCCGCTTAGCTACTTTGTGAGTTTTCTTTTTTTTCGGGAGTCGCTCTTTCCATGTTGACAAATGCAGGTCGGCGTTATTTGTACATCTCTATGTATGTGTTTTTGTCGTGTGTTTCCG